CAAAACAGATACCACTGCCCACTTCGAAGTTGCAGTGCAAAAACCGAAAAACAAAACACAGCACAACAAACCCAGAAGCCAGAAGGGCACACCCTCATATACCTAAGACATTCACCGTGGAGTTTCCGATTCAACCGTCAGGGATCGGCACGCCACGATCCCTGCAAAAAGGTTTAGGGTTTAGGGTTTAGGGTTTAGGCCTTAGGGTTTAGGGTTTAGGGTTTAGGGTTTAGGGTTTAGGGTTTAGGGTTTAGGGTTTAGGGTTTAGGGTTTAGGGTTTAGGGTTTAGGGAGACCTGGATGATCTTCAGGGTCGAAAAAGCCTGGTGCTCCCTACGACGCTTTCTTGAACCAAGACTCCGTGATCGACGTGGCCGATGGTACCGATGTTCATGTGTGGTTTGTTTCGTTGGAAGACCTGCCATGGCCAATTGCTTCTGAGCCTTTTCAGCTCCACGTCTCGAGATAAATGCAGCGGTCAGATCTCAATACTAAAAAAGTGCGGCGACTGGCAAGCAGGCCGGTCTTGCACCAACGGCAAAGCTGCGCATGGCACCTACCCAGTCACTGAAAGAAAGAAAGAAAGAAAGAGAGAGAGAGAGAGGGATAACGAAAGAAGGACACGGAAGCAATATGTGCACATGCAGCGCGACGAGAGAATGTTCAAAACAGATGAACATGCACGTTTGTTCATCTTGTGATCATACATGTGTGTGTGCGCACGTGTATGCACCCATACTTTTGGGCGTAGCCGGGTTTGGGCGACAGCTCCGCTACGCGCGGTTAAATTGCGAAAAGAAGCTGCGGAAATTTCCGGAACCGGGTGGTTCACACGTGAATCCCATCAGCGGTCCGTCTCAGAAACCCAGCTGATTTCGCAAACCCCCCCCCCCCCCCACCACCGACCAGCTGTTTCTGAAACATGCACCGTCCACCTCGCCCTCAACCCCCGAAACCTTAAACCCTGAACACCAAGCCCCCTTCAACGTCTCAACACCAGCAAAACTGGTGGGGGATAAGAGAGGGAGAGAGAGAGAGTTGTCTCCACCCGCACACAGGGTTAACACGTCAACGTTGCGTGCGAACAGCAGAAGCAAGAAGAGAGAGCAGGACCCGCCCCCAAGACCCAGATGCCGTCCAACTCGCTGGTACCTTTGTCATATGGGGACTTCTTTAACATATGGCCCCTTTTGGGGTCCTCATAAAATGGCGGCCCCCCTTTTATATCCAACAAGGGACCATAATTTAAAGAACTGACCATATGGGGACCAGCTGCCACCATCGTGGCCCGGGTGCGCCTTGAGGTGCACGCTATCTCAGCCAGACCCAAGCGCACCGCCAACTAAGCCAGGGCTTGTAAGGGAAGCAGGCCGCACCAGGGCCACCCCAGGGCGGAGATTTGGAGATTTAAGGGCGATGCTGGCCTGAGGGAGCTGAGATTCACTGACAGCTGCAACTGAGGCCCAAAATGATGCGTGCACCAGCCGAGATCGTCTGAAGTTTTTATCACTGACAAGAATGGAGGAGAGCCGGGGGCGGGGCGGTGCATGTGTATGAGGATGAGGATGTGGTATGTGTATGTTTCGACTCCATTCGACTCACGTATAATTCTCTATCGTTTAGGGCTGTTTAGGGCCCAGGGCTTAGCGGGCATGGCCTTTCGAGCCGCGGGCGCCAAGCCCCCGTGCGGCGCGCAGGGCGAAGGCCTCAAGGCGGATTTCTTTGGCTTCCATGGGTTTTGAAAGGGGTCTGTTGTTAGGCTGGTTAAGGCTGCTCAGCTTCTACAACTATATACCTTTAGCTTTAGGGTCTTAGGGTACGAAGGGCTTTATAGGCTCAGCAACCAGGAGCAAAGGATCCAGCCATTGTGTCTGACTTGTGCCAGCGAAAATTGCAGCCTTGGTCAAGGAAGGATTCTGTCAATCCAACAACCCAGGTCTCTCCGAGCCCAAAGCCCGCCGCAGGCCCAAAACTGGTTGGGTTGTGTTGTTCAGCGTTTGGGTGGCTTGAACCAGAGGCGTGCACCCATGCGACTGCGCCATCCTGATGGTCCAAAGAAGAGCTTGCAGACATCAGGTGTGGCTAGCAGAGTGCACGTTTTCTCGCGCCGCTCTGGCTGTCGGAAGCTCTAAGGCTTCGTCTTGCATGGCTTGGGAGATTTCCTGCTTAGCAGGGTGACTTTCATCTCAACAAGGCCAGTGAGACCATCTCGGCAGGGAGTCTCTCTACATGGCAAGCCGCTCACCATTGTAGTCAAAGGTGTAGTTGAACCTGAGTCCCCCTAGGCTTTTTCAAAACCTGCAAAACACCCTGAACACCCTATACGTGGCCCTGAAACCGGCGAAAGAAGACCAGCTGATCCACGAACTCTCGGAACTCTCCGCCCGGAAGCCTCCAAAAACTCACTGGGAGACCGGCTTGGGGCGCCCAAGAATTGGTGGCATGGGGTTGTGGATGTCCATCGATGCCTGAGAAGAGGAGGCTGAGCGTGGCAAGGCCAAGGAGGGCACAAGAGGCAGAGACTCACAGACTCTGAACAATTCTGTGACGTGAACGTTTTCGCGAGGCAACCGCGGATTGGGCCTCACGCCATGCGGGCAGCAGCTACTGCGCAGCAGCTACTACGCAACTTCAAGACCAGCTTCAAGACACACGAGAACTCAGACTGCTGCAGCATGATGACGTTCTTTCCGTCCATCGTTTGCCGCAGCCTAGGACTCAGATGTTCCACCCTGGCAGTTCAAGCCCATTCATGCGCGCAAGGGCAACGACGGTCCCGGAGGGTCTAGGCACCGGGCTCAGCTTTCGGAAGCTTCATGCTGGAGGACATGGAAGCTAGCTGGCCGAGTCGTGTCTTGCGGCCTCGATCCTCCGAACCCTTTCCCTTGCCCTTGTGCCGTGCTTCCGAGTCCGGCTGACTGCCAGCGGCTTGTGGCCGTTGCATCAGCTCCGCATACTTTTGGGACATGTAGCGCCGTGCATGGGGGTCCTGCGACTGCATACGACAACACCCGGTGGGTGGAGTTCTTGTGTGCAAAGCTTGCTGCTGCCAAGGAAAACTCAACGCCGCACACTGCGTTCTGATTTCTGTGTGGCAAGGCCCATCGGACAGCAGAGAGGCGATGAATTCACATGCCTCTCAAACGTGAGTGTCCTCCTTCAGCACTTGCAAGTTGGCTTCCGAGAAGCTGTGGCCGATCCGGCCCAGCTGCTGGGCCCTTGGCATGGCGATTTTGACTCTGCACCTGTCGGTGCGTATTTTGCACGGGCAAAAGGCCAGACTTTAGGGTACCGGCACTCGCCGCGAATGGTCCGGCCCCACGCACTGAGCCTCCCATCAAGGTGTGTGACTCTTGCTAGCGTGCCTGGCTTCCTTGTGCGCCCTTACATGTGCATCCTCAGCAGATGCCTGGAAGTTCTTCTTCGCCAGCGGGTTGCCATCATAGAAGGTGAAGGGGGCAGTGGTCAGGAGCTGGCATCCATGAGCCACGCCAACGTTTGCCATTTCGCACCAGCACAAAACTGAACTCCCTCTTTACATGTCTTTTGCAGAAGGATCGAGGCGTAGCTTGAACAGCCCAGGCCTTGGACCGGTTGTTCCCACGTAGCCACCACTCCTGGATGCCCAAGTGCTTACGAGGCCGAAGCACAGAAGCATGGTGGAAGTGTGTAGGATATTGCAAGCATCCCACTCGGCTGCCTCGTCTGGAATCGGCTCCTTGTTGTATCGCTCACCGACGGGAGCAGCCTGATCAGCAGTGATGATCGTGCACAGCTTCCTCTCGCGGCTCCCGGAACTCTCTGTGTATGCCATAGACATCAGCTGGACCCGATGTCCCAGCCTCACCAGTGGCAGGATGGCGCAGGGCCTGAGCTGCAAGTGCAAAAAAGAACACACCTGAAGATTTCGGAAAATAGGGGTGCCTTACTATTGGGGTCCGCAAATTAAGGGAATCCTACTATTTGGGGGTGTATATGAGGGTCCCTTATTTTCGTAAACCCCCCACCTGTAGTTGAGTTGTCCTGCCTAATTATAGCTATCAGCTACAAGTACTTGGGCGTCAGGGCCATAGGACTGCGGAAGATGAGGCCTTCGGAGGTTGCAGGTAGGACTTGAAGCAGCAGAGAGGACAAGTATTCCAATGACTGGCGCCTTCACAACAAAGGATATAGTATCAGTATGAATGAGGAGACCTAATAAACATAACACCCTTAATATACTCCTGGTTTTTTTATAATATGACCATGTGTGTGGATCCAAGATGTGGGCGGTAGTGCTGCTTCGCGAGGTCTGGCTTTTTTCGGACAGCCACCTGCCAGGCTGACCCAAAATCCCCATGAGTGCCCAGGCATGCCAAGAATTTTCAGATAAACTTGAGGCAACATTCGGGGGTTTACGAAAATAGGGGTACCTTGTTGGGGCCCTTTTTCTGAGGGGTTCCACTCTTTGGGGGACCCCCTTGGAAAATTGTTTAGGGCCTCGTTTCCCAGACACAAGCAAAGTTCTCGAAGTTTCATTCATGTCAGATGTCAGGCTTCCGGTCCACTCTAAGCCTACAGTTTTTGGAAGCCCAGGCGGCGAAACCTCGCATGATTTCAGACACCCCCTAAGAATAGCCCTGGATGCTTCAGAATATTCGCACAAAATTCATTAACTGCCCCATGATCGCATATGTTAGTTTGGGCGGCCACCTGCAAAAGGTGCGTCTGTGGGCAGCATGGGCATGGGGGCAACCTATTCATCACTGCCATGGAAAACACGAGTCTCCTGAGCTGAGGCCGAGCTAAGCCAGCTTGAGAACTGTCAAGACAAACCTCCGGAAACCGTGTCCGTGAGACCGTGTCACGTGGCCGGAGGCCACCTCGCCGACCACCATGGTCCTCCGCGAGTTGAACTATCAGAGCCCCTTACCACTGCACCATCGAACCCAAGACGCCCCAACAACCCTGCAGCAACTCACGCGGCGGCAACACATGTGGGGGGCTTGCGAAAAGAGGGGACCCCTAAGAAAGACCCCCAAATAGTAGGATCCCCAGTAAGGACCCCAACAAGGCCTCCATGTGTCAACCTCAAGTCATCTTAAGCCCAAGCCGTCCTGAGCGTCGCCTCACCGCATGGCACAAGCTTCTTGAGCCCATGGCTCAGCTGGAAAGCCGGGGCAAGTCACAGACAGCGCACCTTCTGCAGCTTATTCTTTTGGCGGTTGGAGTTCGGGATTCATGGTCTGTATTGTAAATGGTATGGGCTTCAAGAACGGGATTGATAATCATGAGGAGAATTGGTGCTCCGCGACACGGCATCCAGAGTATGCTAAGCACCTGTCGCTCTTTCTGTTTCCGACGAGCAATTGCCTGATGAACGCTTGAAGATCTGCGTGCCACTCGGAAGCAGCCAGCGATGCCCCATCTTGATGAGGTCTCACTCTCTAGCGCCCCTGACCACCGGAAAAGCTTGATGCGGACATGCGGCCGCAGATCCGTCCTTGGAGCGCGCGCGCATGTCCGGAGCCAAAGGCTCCGGTGACGTCCGGCACTGCTCGCATCTGCCACCCCACTGTGCAATGAAAACGGCATCATCGTGAGTCCTCTTCTGCTTCGCTCTTCGAGGCCAAGACTCACCGCAGCGGTGCCCACAGCGCCCGGCGAACGGATGGCACGGCCCTCGTGCCTGTGTAGTGGATGCGGAGGCGGAGACTTTGACGAGGACGATGAGCTTGTGGAAGACATCGTGGCCTCCCAACAGAATGTCTCGCAAGGTGATGGCATATTTTCGGGCTTGTCTGTGAGCAACTGTGGCAGTGCATGATGTCATGGAACTCTCATGTTAACTCTACCCATGTCTTTGTTGCCGCATGAGTTGTGCTGATGCCACGGCTGCCGGCTGGACGCCTGGTCACTTCCCTTTCGAGAGCGGAGCGGCAGCCTCGGGCAGGGAGCTTGGGAAGCTGAGTCGGCCAGTTAGCATGGAGCGGGCGCATGACGTGGCTCGCTTGCTTTTTCCACATAGCTGAAGAGCGTCGAAGCGTTTTGACCTCGTTTGGGCCAGAGCTCTGCACACTGTCGACTCATGAGTTACCTCAAACGGGCGCGGCTCACAGCTCTTTGTGGCTGCCATTCCTGCTCACTTGCATGAAGTGAACAGGGTCCGAGCGCCCATCTTCCTGAGTAAGCCGTTCTGGTTCTGGTGCTAGCGAGTTGCGCTGCAGTTTGCGCTTCGCTGCCCACTTTTTCAATGCCCGCCGCCACTTCCAGCGTTTTGGGTGCATTCTGCGGCTCCTGTAATATGCCTTCGTCGTGGTTGAAATCTCGGTCGTGGCTGAAGTCTCGGTCGTGGTTGAAGCCTCGGTCGTGGTTGAAGTTGAAATGGATCCTACCTTCACCATTTCTCCGTATGATGTCAGTGCAAGCGGACCTAGCAAACGTCGTGGGCCATCGTAACGGGCTTTGAAGCTGTGCAAGCACTTGCTGTTGTCCCAGGAGATAAAGCGCTTAGCAATCGCCTCCACCTCCTTCACAATCTTCTCGTCCCCGATGTCCTTGAAGATGAGCTTGCCCAGGCTGCCACCATCCGGGGCGGACTCGAGGTAGGCAACTGCAGCCGTGCCTGGAACCTTCTCGCTCACCCAGCGGCCACCCATGTGATCTGCGTGTTCATGAACATCCCCACGCTTGCGGGACACCGGGACGGAAGACTTTGAGGCCACAAGCTGTGCGACCTCCTTAAGGCTACTGTTTGCTTAAGAACCAACAAACATATCGTTCCCTCCAAGGGTAACAAGGGGATGATTGATTTGTTTCCTTTTTTTTTGGGGGGGGGGGGGGGGTTCTTAAGCAGCAATTCGAGGGTAAGGTCCTTGCCCGTGATCGTGGCCCGAAGGCGCTTCTCGAGCTTCGGATGGCCCAGCACCTCGACGATGAGCTTCCCCACGGGCTCCAGGACTTCCACTGCGCTGTCGAGCTGGGCCTCCTGCTCCTTGGACCGGAGCCTTGGGGGGGGGGGTCATATTACATCCATATTTTACTCTGTAGTGCCTATTAAAGTAATCTGAACCCTAAACCCTGTCTAGGGTTGATTTATTTAAGGTCCCAATTTTAGGGTTCCTTTGTCCCCAACAAGGAGCTCCGACTTCAGGCGCTGCGCGAGCGTGGGGGCTTCCTGGCGCAAGCGCTCCGACTCACTCGGCGCCCTCTGCGCCTCAAGATCTGCCATCACAGCCTGTGCTTCAGCGTCCGACAAGAAGTTGTCGATGACCTTGATGGAAGACAGGCAAGTGTCATCTGGATCTGCCAGGGCTTGTGCCAGAAGCGCCCAAAGACATACGGGCCAAGCCGGCAGGAGCCAGGATGCAGCCATTGGCGGAGCCTATGGCGAGCGTTCCGGACGGAGGCCTTCCAGTCGAGCCGCTGTCCCCATATGGGGCTGCATAACACTGAAACAGATTCATGCCTTCTGGCGCTATCGCTTCCTTTGTCCTTACTCACCACTGTACAATGGTGGACA